TTGTTGTTATGGTTAGTATAACCGGAAGGTGATTGGAGGGAAGTTCGTCTATTGTGCCGATGTGTGTTCGTATGAGATGTTCGAGAGGAATATATTTATATTGGATGAATTGGGTTGCATTTTGATTGTTTATATGCGAGGAGAGGACTGTGTATTATTTGGTAGTTTTCGGTAGCCTTGGCGTGATTTTTTATAGTTACCTCATTGGTGTTTCTTCTGATATTATTCCATAGCTTGGAATTGAAGTCACCTCCTATTAAATAATATTTAGTATTGCTTTCATTGGTGAGTTCGTCTACGTCTTGTTATTATTTTATTGTCTGGTGGGGCGTATGCCCCGATGGTTAAGGTGGCTGTGGTTTTGGTTGTGATAGTGACGGTTTCGATGGAATTAGTTGTTGGTTGCTTGGTATGTTCTATGGGAATTTTGTTGTGTATGGCTATTAGAACTGCTCCTCTAAGGGTCGTTCCGTGTTTATGTGTTCTGTCTTTTCTGAATATTTGATCCCTGAATAGGGATGCGTATTCCTGGGGTTAACCAGGTTTCTGTTATTAATACAATATCTATGAGATGGTCTTCTAGAAATTTTTGGACCTCTTGTTTTTTGTTTTGGATGCTAGTAGTATTCCATAGCAGTGGTTTGATGTTTAAGAGCCAGCTTCCAGCTCTTTTACGATCTGTATAGTTGCTTTGACTCGGTCTAAGTTGTTTGTGCATTTCATATAATGCTTTTGCATCAGCTCGATTATCCTTAAGAATAAATCTAGATCTGATGATTCAATTTCAGCTCAGAATCAGTTTATTATGCTTCTTATTGTTTCCTGGTACCGAAACTCTTGGGGAAGATGCTTGTTTTGTTAATATAAGTTGCCTGCGATGTGATTAGAGCTTGAATTTCTGATGCGTTTGTGTGCGTGCTTGTTGTATAACATGGAGGTTTTCTTAAAGTAGGAAAGGCTTGTGGAGATGGGAGGTATTGCATCTCTCTTGGCGAGGAATGCTAGAAATGCCGGACATTTGGAATAATTAGCTGGGTGGCTGCCTTTGCAATTTGTGCACATAGGTGGTATCTCGAGGGGCTTAGTGCACTTTTTTGAACCGTAGGGTCCCGCGCATTTGACGCACATTGCCTTCTTATTACAGTTTATGGATGAGTGTCCGTGTGCCTGACAGCGGTAACATTGTATGGTTGGTTTTTTGGATTCTAACTTTTCCCAGTATACTTTTAGGTTTCCAATAAACCTTACCTGGTTGACTTTCGCTAGGGTCGTTTCTGGTGCGAAGGTTACTCGGTTAATGGGGTATTTAGTGTGAGTAGGTATTGAGTAGGTATTTCGGTGCAATTTAGAGGAGTTAGTCTCTGACTCCTTATGTTGTTCATAATTGTTTTTTCAGGTACCTTTACTAGTCTCTTTAGGACTACCGTTAGGATTTCTCTCTGACTGTGTATGTGTGGAACTGTATATTTTCTTTGCGACACAGCTCCCTAAATTCGTTCAAATCGATATATTTTGAAACATAACCTTTAATTTTTTCTGAAGTATATTTGGCGTGGAATCTATTATTTCTAGTAATTTATCTTATCGTGTATATATGTCAGAGGTGGTTTAATTTTGCTTTGGTCAGCGAAGATGTTTGAGTGCCTTTGTGTCTCTATGTCTTTTTCATTTACTTCGTCTGTATGTTGTGTCGTTCAGCAGACATTCCGCAAAAATGCCAAATCTATTTTGTGTTATGACGTTAAGTGTGTAAGCTTTAATACCTCCTGTGATATACGTTGTCGGCCTTGAGTTGGTTAGAGAGGAAGACCTCCTCCTCGTGGTTATGATTTTAATTTCTCTTTTTGTGGCTCTTCTTTTTAAGCAAGTCATAGCCGCCGTGTCCGTTTTCTTTTCCTGTGTTGGTGGGATGTTTACCAATGTTAGATCAGTGGTGACGTAGATTTTGCTCGAACCCTACTATGCTTACTGCCGTCTATGTCACGTATCGACTATCGTACTATTAAGCACGTATGAGGGTAACTGACCTAAGGAACATCACTGAGGGTGTCCTTCTTAAGTACTCACTAAGCTCTAATCACTGTGATTTCTGCCTTTCCGTGTTGGAGTCGGGCCTTATATACTCGACTTCCTTTTTGTCCTTTCCGATCAGGAAATATTATTTCCAATCAGGGGCTGGTCAGTCCCATAAAGTAATATTTATAATTATTTTATGAGACTGACAGCACTGCCCAAGGACGCGTCCCTTACATTAGTTTTATGTATTTATTGGTCCTGGTCGTAGGCCCAAGGCCAATGAAACGCGTCCCCTACGATAATGTAATAAAATTCATATAATTAATAAGAAATTTACATTGTAATTGATTGTATTATTGTTTTATATCATTTCATATCATTTAGCAACATTGTGAATATATGTTAACAGTTTTATATTTTTGTTATAGCTGTTATTTTATTATTGAAAATTATTGGCGATTTGTTACTTGAAAATTTTTATATTATGTACTTAATATCTTCCGAGTCAAGGAGCGAAATGAATGGTTTGTACTCTTATTATATCTCCTGGCTTAAAAGATTTGCCTGTATTTCCAGAAGTGAAATTCGTGTGATGTTATCACGAATAGCTTGGAATATGCTGGTAAGAGTTTCGACCTTCTTTATTTTCGTGCAGTATTTTGTATTATTATTTCAGAATATCAGGATATCTGTTTTAAGATTTTTGTTAATTTATAAGACTAGAAGATATCAACTTTCTTTATACTTCTTCACTTATTATTCACTTTCTTTATACTTCTTGTCTTATTACGTTTTTTTATTTTCTCAGATTCTGTTTCTTATTTGTATGAAGAATGTATTTCTTAGTAATCTGAAGAAGGGATTTGTTTTTCATTGGTATTTTCTTTTAGCTTTATGACGATTTTCGAATAATTTAGCTTTATGTAATCTTTGTAAACACATAATTTTGTCGTATCTTACGTGTAATAGAATTTTATTTTAATTGCTTTTTGTATGTTTGCTCTTTTGTATGTTTGATTTGTATGTTTGATTTACGATTAGTGACTGCAATAGTTGAATTTTTTTTGTTCGCTTCCTATTTAATTGTTATGTTGGATTTTAGATTGTATTTATTGCACTATTTCTTATATTTGCGTTACACAGTCATCTTAATATCTCCGATGGTGGTTGTGTGTTTGGATATATAAAATTCCAGGATTATCGAGAGATGACTTAATGATAGATTGTTTATGATGCTGGGCTACAGGTGTGGGATACTCATGAAAAATATGTTTATGTTTGATGAAGTTTTGTTTGGTTATTGACCAAACAAAAATGTGGTGTCATGTAATAGTTTTCTAACATTAATCCATGAGCTTTGTACATTGTGTTGTTCCAGATTTAATATTTTGATTGAGGAAATATATATTTGAATAATTGTTTAAATCTCAGTTAAGTGACTTGTCTTTAGGGGTTAAATATATTGTGTTTAAAGTTATATATAATCGATCTAAAGACATTGATTACTGTATTTTTTATATCGATCAATGCCATTAATTTCTTTATTTGTTGAGGTCCAGATACTACTGATAGATGGAGCTCTAGCTATTTCAAATCCTTTTCCATATCTTTTACGACATCTTTTTCTTTAGCATTTCCAGGGGTGTGACAAAAGGGAATGTTTGTGAATGAAGGACACGAGTATATCTCATTGGACGTAGGGACGTAGGAGATCGACATAGTCCTAAACTTTTACATCTCGTGGTTAATGTAATATTGCGGGTTAGTGAGTCTTTCCTCTCTTCCTATTCCTGTCTCATCTTTAACTACCTTGTCTCTTAAGAACCGTAAACTTGTTGGTGGATCGTAATATGAGTAAGTGATACCGAACATGAGCCTCCAATACTATAACATTATGATCACGTTTCGTAGGATCAGGGCTCTTTCTCAATCGAACTACGAAGATGACAACCTCTCTAAAAATCTCTAACTGAAAGTTTTGGTTTATAAACAAGTATTCCTTTGTCGATGACATCAACCGCGGGGGACTATTCTGGCAATCACGTGGATATGTTAACCTTTCCCGATTTTTTGTTTTGTAGATCAAAAGAGGAGAATAAAATAAATAAAAAAGATAGCGCGGATGAAATCGAAGCCAATGATATTCTGTAGAAGTTCGAACGAAGTCTAATTGAGTTTTAACAGAACTGAAGCGGCCCGTCGAGAGAAGAAAAATCGGACACGAAGAAGCGGGGAAGGAATGGCTGACTGGTACATGAATTTTTTCGAAAGAAGGAAGATCGAAAAAGGACAGCTCTTTGCCGAATCTGCTATCTGTTAAAGAGTGAAGAAATCGAAAGAACGGAGAGAGAAAGAAAAGAAAAAGTTAGAACTTTTCTAACTCCTTGTCGGCGGTAACTCTGATGTAGATTGGCTTAGGTCGATTACGAGTGATCGACGTGTGAATGACGACACCAATCAAGTAAGCTGAGTGACTGGCATCGATATATTTGTTGTAACGAGGCGAAAGCTGCAACAGTAAATCAGGATGCTCTTGAGATTGTCGATGACTTTTACAATGTTTTAGATGTTTCAAAGTGGAGAAACATAAGAATGCGCACTTCTCTAATGAATCGGAGCAGATTTTGTTATATGATCTGACTACCGGATTGTTGCGTGTTCTGTCTCGGCACCGAAATGCTCTTTGTGTGATGTTTTTGGCATATCTTACAGACAGAGTCTATAATCCTCTTCTCCACAAAATTGTGGGGACTATTCAAAGGAGAATAAAGTAGAACTTACTCCCTCTAATGAAATAATATCACCAAGGAGCGCGGAATCTTCGCATCACGTTGAGGAAACAAAGGGAAGAGGTCATGTTTGAAAAGATTGTTTTCATGCAAACCAGTCTGAGACGGTCGAAGCAGGCTCAACATATATATCCCAATATATAATAGAGAGCAAGAT